TGTGTTTTCCCATCCAATGTTGATTGTTTGGTTCGATTATGTTTAATCCTTATCTGAAATGAAAAGTTTGTGTACTATTGTGATGGAATATGTTGTGGGTAGTTGTATGGCGTGAATCCCAGATTATGAAATGTGGTCTTTTGACAAATATAATGCATTGTTTGAATTGATTAAAATGCATGATGAATGTTGTTGAATTTGTTGCCGTTGGCACTGTGTTGTGAATAATACATGAGAACATATTGTGAATATGTGTGCATTGCTTGATAAATGTGGTGATGATATTGAATTGTGAATGCATATTGTTTGTATGCGATTGTATGTGAAGAATGCATGAGAACATATTGTGAATATGCGTGCATTGCTTGATAAATGTGGTGATGATATTGAATTATGAATGCATATTGTTTGTATGCGATGTTGTGGAGAATGAATGAGAACATATTGTGAATATGTGTGCATTGTTTGAAATGTGGTGATGATATTGAATTATGTGTGCATATTGATTGTATGAAATGTTGTGAAGAATGCATGAGAACATATTGTGAATATGTGTGCATTGCGTGATGAATATGATGTTATTGAATATGAATATGTTGTGTGTGCAATCATGATTATAATTCGTATGTGATGAATTATTTGAGAATGCATGAGATTAAGATGCGAGAACGGTCTTAAGTGCATTTGGTGGTTGATTGCATATGCATCATTTAGTCAAGAGGCAATGCTTGCTAAGTTTCGTGGAGACTAGTGACTTGTCCCAAGCCTAGAAGAGTGTGTTTGAAAGCTTAGAGGACAGGCTTTTATTGTTATCGGTCTAGAAGAGTGGACCCGGTTTAAGTGTAAAAACCGAAAAATGATAACAAGTGTTGGTACCACATGGCATGAGTTGCATTGAGTCTCATGGAATGAATATATGATTGTTGTATGAAGTTATGCATATGTGTATGTACATGACTTGTGTAATAGAGAATTATGGATATGTTTGATGATTGTCCATATTTGCATATATATATATATATATATATATATATATATATATATATATATATATATATATATATATATATATATATATATATATATATATATATATATATATATATATATATATATATATATATATATATATATATATATATATATATATATATATATATATATATATATATATATATATATATATATATATATATATATATATATATATATATATATATATATATATATATATATATAAGCTTTGTGAAGTATATGATGAAGTATGGTGAGAATTGTGGAATATGCGTATGTGCATTACTTGTGTAATTGAGAGTTGTGAATATGTGATTATTGTATGAAAGTATGCTTATGAGCATGAATTGTTGATTTGAGAATTGTGAATGTGTAATTGTGAATTGGAGAGCAAACATAATATGTATATGTTTATGTGAGATGTTGAGATTTATGAATATGCTTGGTGATTATCTTTATTTGTTTATATATATGTTGTGACGTACATGATGAGTTATAATGAATTGTGGTGAGAAAATGTGGAATATATGTATTTTGTACCTGTGCATTTATATATGATTATACGCATTGTTATTATGATAATATTTCTCACCCTTCTGCTGGAATGATGTCCTACATGACATCGTGCAGGTATCAAGGTGTAGTACTGCTTCTAGTTGCGAGGTCGCTATCGGTGTAGCCGCTTAGTAATTTAATAATGTTGGGTCGAGTCATGCTCTGGTCGTGTAACACTGGGATCGCTTGGGTTATGTTTCAGATATATGTTATGTACTCTATAATAGGTGTTTATATTCATCGGAATATTATGATGTTGGCCTCAGTGCCTAAGTGATGTTGTTTTATGTGATAAACACAAATGTTTCCTTTATGAAAATTGTAAATAAATGCATCCGCTGCTACATGCAAAGTGAAACTTGGAAAAGTATAACTATTTATTGAGGTGTTATGAGTATGATAGGTGTTTTTGATGTTTTGAAAGTTATGTGTGACGCCCTTTTGTAAATGCATGAAAATTTACTCTAATTATTCATATATTTTCCGTGGAGTTTAGAAGGGTGTTACAATACACACTCTGGATCGGTACTGAACACGATTAAGTGTTTGATAAACTTTTATCACAATCAGAACCAGAGCTCTGATGTCAATTGAAGGTGAGAGAAACAGAAGAAAGGGGGGGGGGTTGAATTGGGGTTTTCAAAAACAAAAGCTTTTTACTAACTAAAACAAATCACAACTATTCAACAACAAAGAGAAATACGCTTTGATTTTTATAATGGTTCACTTGAAAATCTCAAAGTTCCAGTCCACCCGCCAAGGTGATTTCGCCTTATACCCAAGGACTTAATCCACTATAATCAACTGATTACAACTGCACTAACAACCACTGGTAACTAATAAACCACAAAGACACACAATCTATATTTTCTTAAGGATTCTGACCTAACTGGTCCCTTAAGGAAATACAAATAACAGTTTGATTACAAAGTTGTGTTTACAAAGATTGCTTCTATCCAAGCAGGTATAAACAAGTTAAAAACACAATACACTTAAAGAAAATTTCTTCATAAATTTAGACAATAGTCTTGCATGCTTATTCTTTTTCTTCAAGTCTTCAAGTCTTTATATAGCCAATAAAAAATGATTCGTTGAAGGGCAGATCTGGTATTCTTCATGAATGAGCAGGCGACTTAAGTAACAGTTTAATGCGGGGGGGACAAGAATCGTACTACCTCAATTTCCTTACTCCATGAAATCCGATTAGTGGAAGGAATATTGGTTTGTACCATGTACTATTTTTCCCATGTATAAACTCGTTCTTATCTTCTATTCTTCAGTGGCTTCTGGATAAATTGTTGTTTGAAACATGAGTTAGAAGAGTTGATTTTGCTTGAGTTTAGAAACTTTAATCATCAATCAGACTCTGTGTGACTTTGATTCAGACTCTGACCTAAAGGAAGGCGCATCAATAACAAGGCACCTTACCTTAACCTACTTAGCATTTCCTTCCGCTCCAAAGGTGGTCCTCACAATGTTACATAACCTTTTACCTGCACTGGCTCACCCCGAAAATCCCACCAACGATCCTTGGAAGAGCTTGAGATTCTCTAATTCTATGCATAACCTCTCAAATGCATCTTAATGTAGGATGTCCCTAGAAAGGCTTGAGGTCATCTAATTAAGATGAGCTCCCTTGATTAATCAAGACTTTTTTAATCTCTAAATCATCACATCTCACGGTAATGATTATGAGATCATTGTTATGTGGATGGATACTTGCTACATCTTTCTAAGAAAAGGCGATCTCAGCTTCTGGGGCTTCTAGTTCACCTAAATTAGAGTCGGTGGGCGAACCCTTAATGGTTAAAATTTTGGGAGCGTACCTTTTACGAGAATAATTGGTCTCTCTGTTCCAATGAATCTTTCTGCGATGGGATTAAGAGTATGGAATAACTCTATAGTCGCCTCACTTATCCTAAAGCATCTCGCTCCCGAAAGTTACATCTGCTTGGCCTTTTAGCGAAATCACCTTTACATACATACTTCTTTAAGTGTCCCTTTTGTTTAGGCTCTATATCTCCTTCTTGAGCTAACGACAGTCCTCAATATGGTGTCCATTGACTATGTATGCGTGAAGGACTTCTGCTTTATTTTCTCCCGACGAGTGTTCAGAGGCGTGAAACTTTTGGTGGTTTTTCCACTTTGTTTATGTTGTCTTGTTTGTGATGAGCGACGTGAATTGAATCCTTCGTGAGTGTTTTGAGCTCTATCAGGAGCATTACTTTCCTCATCCTTGATGTGTAACATTCTGCCATCATCGCTACTTCAGTTGAAAGACGTCGTCGACCTTTGGGCGAGAGATTCAATGAAGTGTCATGAGACAATTCTTAAACGGTCCTACACATATTTCTTAGTTTGGATCTTAACCGTTGCCTCGTTGAATTGGACGAGGTACCCATCATAGATTCAGAGTGGTCTTGATGGATTTGAAGACCGTGTTGTAAATTGGTTTCTTCACTAAATCTTGATATGGTAACAGAGTCGCGACTGACCCATAAAATCTGGTATGGATGTTCCCCATCTCGTAAGTGAGATGTTGTGGAGGTATCCTCCAATGCTTGATTCTAGCAACATAGATCGTCCATAGCAGTACATCTCTACTATGGCACACCTTCAGATTCACTGGTCGAACTGTCTTTTTGTTTACCATAATGATCAGAGAGGTTAGGTGAGGACAATAATTCGATAGGGAGTTGTCGTGGTGGCCCAGGTCAGTTTTCCTGGGGCCTTAGGTGGACGCCAATTGTGGTTGTTGTAGGTGGACGCCAATTGTGGTTGTTGTAGGGTTGTTCCTGCTAGTAATATCGATGCTAGACCTAAGATCCTAGGCTCTGAAAAGATGCTGGAGTGGACGATTATTAATCAACTATTATTTTTAGAGAAAATGATCAAATGAATGACTCCTAATACTGTTACGGAGCAATGAGACATCATTTCTCCACTTTCCCATGCAACACCTCCTAAAAGGGTAACAAACATCGATCAAGAGAATGACTGACAAATGTGTAATTACTTTTTATATATAAAAGATTGGAGATGAAAAAACAAAGGAGAAGAAGCTAATAATAATCTGGCTTGCAAACGTTTCTGTGTGTTTGTTTGCTTGTACGTTTACCATGATATCAAACGCAGCTTCCATATTTTTACTCCAATAGTAGCTGTCAAACAGCCACAAATCCGTCTGCACATGCTGTATAGTATAACGTTGATGCAACGAAAATTCAGCCTACTTGGAATTGTTTGTAACCCAACAATTCATCAATTTAAAAGTAATGCAAGAAACAATTTTTATTTTGGAGCATTCAATTCAACCACACATTATGGTCCCTATCACTAGCTCCATTCAGATTATAAGAATGAAATAAACCAAAATCAGGTGTCAAAAGAGAGACAACCAAGATAAAAACTAACATTCCACAATTCACAAATCAGTTATCTTCCTCTCCCTCAAAACGAATGTGCTTTCCTTTTGGAGTAGGCAACCCTTTCAAATGCAAAACCTCAGAATCACAGCCACCAAAATCTTCAACAACCTCTTCAACAATCTCATCATCATCATCACTACCATACACAAACCTAGTATGTTTCCCAGCAAATTTTGGAACAACCTTCTCATTCACACCAATTTTGCTCAAACCCTCACACAGTTCATCAAGCAACAACCCTCCATCATCATACTCTTCCGCATCATCAACATCTTCATAGTAATCATCTTCTACATCATCATATTCAACTTCAGTTATTTCCTCATCTTCGTCATCATCATCATCATGTGTACTTGCATTCACTTGAATTGACCAAATGGAATCGCCATCATCTTCTGTTGACCCCATCTTAGAATCTTCTGTAACCTCAGATTTGTCTGAGAAATCTAACAGCACTGGACTTACCACACTCTTTTCAGATTCAATGTTCTCTTCATTCTTTCCAACAGCTCCGTCATTCACCACCTACCAACAAAATTGAAATAAGAAATACGATCAAACACAACCTATAAAGCATAGACACCTGAACCACTATACCAACACTGACACATTGACACTGGTAATAATAAGCATCAATGTCAGTTTTGGACACACACAAACAGACTCACGACACATCTTTTCTTAGATGTGCCAGTACTAAGTAGAACTCAACGAATGGAAAAACATATCATTTGCTTGAAAAAATTAGGGAAGATTGAGACAAACCTGAGGAATGAGATGTTCTTGGACAACAGAAGAAGGTGAGAACTCTGTGAAACCAGGGACAGTGTTGTTAATATTGGGGATTTGAGGGGTATTCGCAGGAGTTGGAGCAAGAAGATGCATTGGAGAGTTAACAAACTGAAGAAAAGGACGACCATCCATTGTGAGTTTTGAAATCTCAGCTTCTTCTTCAACTTTCTGCAAAAGGGTCTTCACCTGACCCCTCAACAAAGCTTCACCAGACCCGGGAGTCTTCTTCATCCGGCTTCCCCGCTGTTTCGCAATACTCGACAACGGTGTCTCGATCTCACCATTCGCAAGCCCGACGATCGGAGAATCATTTGATATGTCGATCAGTGCACACCGATCCGGTTGGTGTTGCACTTGCCCCTGTCTTTGTCTTGATTTCGACATGCTCTTCTCGGAATCCTCTATCTTTCCTGAATCAAGAAAACCAAAATTGTTATAACCCTTTTCAAAAAAATCCAATTTTTAATAAGGAAAAATCATCACATGAAAACGATTGAAACCCATCATGGAAAAATCATTACACATGAAATCGATCACAACACAATTTCAAAAATCAATATTGGATAAAAGAAAACAATCACATACTTGAAATTGGAATACTGTTAATGGGGTTGGAAGCAGACATGGCGATAGCTTGTGATCTTGTGACTCTTCTTGCGGTCGAAGAAGGCGTCTCCATGGTTGAAATTCGATTGAAAGCAGAGAAATGTTGAGGGTTATTACACGGAGCGAGATTTGAGCGCAAGAATGTTTGTAAGAAGATAAAAGAAGATGTGATTTCAGGGCAAAAAGTGGAGTTTATAAAGGAGCGTAGATTGCAGAAATTATGACCGTTGGAGAAAAAACAATTTACAATGTTTTTTTTTTGGTCAAGAAAACAATTTACAATGAACTAGCCGTTAGGATACAGGTTTTGAATCATGGGCTTTATCTGTGTAGGGTTTGATTTAGGCCCGACTTTTTTAAGAATCCAACATGCACCCTATAGGTAAACGAGACACCCCCACATAAATAGCAAATTCACTAGGATATCCACGAATCTTAAAATTTAATATTTAATCATATATTTTGGAATTTCTTTCTTCCTAAAAGACAATGTTTTGACTCGGAGATTAACTGGAAAATACCGACTTTTTTAGTAGCGTTTTTCTTTAAACTAATGAGTTTTTATCGAATTTTTTTCTTTAATAACAAACTTTTATATAAAAATGATGGATATTTATCACTTTTTTTAAATAGTCGTTACTAAATTTTATCGAATATACCGAATTTTTAGGAATATCTGGTATATACAAAATATTTGGATGAATTTTTGCCCTATTTTTATAAAAATTTGATATCCGCACTAAGAATTTTTATCAGATTTTTTCAAATTGTCGTTAAAAATGCATAATGCATACCGAATTTTCAAAAAATTTGGTAAAAATGCATAGTGCATATCGGTTATTTTTCAAAATTTTCGGTACAAATAGGTATTTTGATATTGAAATTTTTAAAAATGCGGTATAAGTAGGGGTGTGACCGGATTTTTTAAAATATTTGATAAACTAATATTGTTTATTTATTTATTTTTAGGTCTTTTTTGTGTTTAGTGAGGAGAATAGGAAGAGATGGTAAAATCATACTTAAATTGAGCAAAGACCTATTGTAGAGAGTTCACGTGGAGACAACGGAGATGATGGTGATATTCATTTTCACACTAGGGGCGGGTAGAGACAGTCACTCAGATATTTTGTTTAACCAAATACTTTTCGTGCGAATACCATTGTAATCATCGACAATGTGACATATGTTTTCTTTGTAAAATAGGGTCCTACTAGATGGAACACACTAAGGCGCAATTGGCGTACCCCCTATTAGAAACTAGTCACTTTAAGAGCGTAGGTGGTGGAGCCTAGCAAACATCCACCTCGAACCAAGATAAAAACCCAGAGGCATGGATGGGAACCCCACCCTTTGGTCGATGACGGTTCTTAGTGATGCTGAAGAATTACTCCAGCTCCGCTCGGTTGGGACATATAACAACAAATTTTAATGGTTACACCAACACCTTTCGATTAGGACAAGTAACGACAAAGCTTAATGGTTATACCAGCTGCCATCGACCGGGATGGGTAGCAATAAAGATTGATGGTTACTCCATCACTTACCAAAGGGATGAGTGACCATGAGTTCCAAAGGCGTTGTTGGTTCCTTCCTAAGGGAAAATCCCAGGCAAGACATCATAAATGACATAAATCCAAATTAAAAGAATTAAATAAATCAAAGCATAATATGGCCGAAAATCGCAAGCTTACTCAAGGCTAAGAGACAAAGCCGAGAATAACCTCGCTAGTATAACAGAAAAATCACGAGGAAAATTAAATAAAATATGATGAGCATTAAGATACTAAACAAAGACAGTTAAGTAAATAAATATTATTATTTGTACATGCTACAGGGAAACATCATGGCACTACACCCAATATAATTTATACAGAAACATAAATTCATGCATCCCCGCATTGGGGCAGAGCACCGTTATCCTCTATTAAATTTCCATCTCAAACCACCTTCTACGGGTTAAGTTCAGTAAAGAACCTGAAAACCAAAAGGAAATGCCTCCAGTTGGGCGACCGCTTGGTTGAAAGCACCATACACCCTTTTAAGGGTCTGGTCAAGTATCTCAATGACCTTCTTCCTCAATTTGATTAATTGTTCCTCGTAGGAATCCTGCTTCTTTTCCCGAGATTCATTCTCCTACTGAAAATCCTTCAGAGCATTGTTAGAATGAGATGTCATCACTACAACAACAGTCGTAGCCTATTCACGGGACTTCTTCTCCACCTTTAGAGAAGATTAAAGTTCCACATTCTTGGCAGCAAGGGAAAGAAGGGACTGATCAATCTCCATTTTTTCTATGTTTATCATCACATTAACAGTAAATTATATGATTTAATCAACACTTACCTACCCCATTTGAGTGATTTAGAGGTATTTGGCCGCATTAAAAAGTTTTTCACGTTTAAGAGTATTTCATACATATTTGATCTTTTAGAAAGGTTCCTACATATTTAATAGGTTTTGGAGACATCAAATTTAAGGGATTTCTCCATTGAATATTCTTTATTTGTGGTCATTGTGTAATGTTTAACACTTTTATCATGTCTTTTATCAGTATTATGTGTAGCTAAACCCTCCAACGCTAGGGATGGGTCATTGTTCTTGAATGAGTTTGATTTTATGAATTGATATTTGTAATGACTTATATTTTATTTTCTACATGATTGATTTATTTCCACATTTATTGCTTTCTCTCTTTGACAATTTGAGAATGATTTATGGTTAAATTTTAGAAAGGACTTTCAACAATAATGCTTGATTGAAGTATTATATATTAAATATCACATAGGACCAGGGATACTGTATAAAAACTGAACCTGTTTTGATAATTACATGCTTAAATTCATCTATAATTAACTACGAACATAAAAATTAATTTGAATAGTCAAAGGTTTATTCACTAAGGAACTTAGGAATGAACACCCTTAAGAACCATTAACTTGTAGAGATAAAAATAAGTTGTTACAAGGTCAATTTAGGATCTGTTAGGTATCCATCAAATGGATCTGAGTACACTTGAAAGTGACTTATCACATCACCGAAAGAAGGTCCGTCATAGTAAGCACCGACGTGGATGAGACAAATGGGATCAAGAAAATCATCCAGAAGGACCTTACGACAACGACCATGGCCTAAAAATAAAAATAGAAGGAAAACTGGCGATTCCTAATATGTTAGACCTAGATGGACGCAAAGACGAGGTTTGACCGGTTTTAGATGGTGATTTCAAGTTCATTCATCTCAGGAAGATTCCTGCCAAATTAGTAAAAATAGGCATCAGTCTTCCTTTTGAAGTAAGAATTACATGGTTTGAATGCCTCCAGGATAATACCTATCTTTTCACTATAACCCCATATGAGATTCCCGAAATTGATCCTAGCATAGCATGCCACTAGTTAAATATGGACACTAACACTCATTACGTCTCTCAACATAAGATGAGGCAATCCACAGGAAAAGCTTAAGCCACTGCTAGCATGGTTAAGGACTTATTAGACCCCAAGTTCATTCTGAAGCCAGATACACAGAGTGGTTGTCCAACCTATTTTGGTAAAGAAGGCCTCGAGAAAGTGGAGGATGCGTGTTGACTACACTGATCTTAACAAAGAGTATCTGGAGGATTCTTATATGCTCAAAAAATTGAAAGGCTCATAGATAATTCATTTAGATATTAGTTATTTTCATTCATGGATGCCTATTCGGGGTATAATCAAATATATATGTTCTGGCCTGACTTGGTAAAGATAACCTTCATGATCGAGTAAACCAATTATCAGTAAATATCATACACCTCGGGCCAAATAACGCTGGTACGACCTACCAGAGAATAATGAACAACATCTTCTAAGAAAAAAAATAAGGGAGTCATTGGAAGTGTATATGGGCGATATGATCGTAAAAAATGGTTGGGAGGAACTTCACACTCAGCACCTTCAACGAGTATTCAAGAAGGTCCAACAATATGATATGCAACTCAACCCATAGAAGTTCACTTTTGGAGTAAAGGCTAGAAAGTTTCTAAGCTTCTATTTAACGGATCGAGGAATCGAGGCGAACCTTGAGGAATATGAGGCCGTAATTCAAATGAGTTTGTCAACGATGAAAAGGGAAGTGTAAAAGTTGAATGGTATGTTGACTGTCTTGAAGAGATTCTTTAAAAATCTGCACATCACGCCATGTGTAAAACTCTAAGACCCCCAAGCGCATTTTATAACATGATCAAAGTATATTTTTCACCAAAGGGTGTCACTCATTCTCAGTATAAGTACCTTTCATCATTTAAGATATCACATTGGAATTTAAAACATTTAATAACATCTCTTAATGGTCTCAAAAATAGAAATTTCTTTAATCAAAATAAAACAATTAGTTCAATAACAACTCAACAATAAGAGGAATAAAATAAACAATGACCCCATCCTATTGTTACACTATTAGAGCGATACCAAGTACTAAACAAAAGGCGAAAAACGATAAACAAAGAAGGCTCGAACCATCTTCCAAACGATAGCATCTAAGGCTCCTTAGTCCCTACCTAAGTATTTGCAAACATAGGCGTAAAACCACCACAACAAGCAAAGAGGGGTGAGAATACGCTCAAATATATTAACGGTCAAAACATAACAAGGATAACGTATTCATATCAATCATCAATCACACACTTGTTCACAACAAGAAAACAATTATAATGATTACTTGATCACACATGCAAGTATGTATGCAAATGTACCCACTACTCGACTCTACATGCACGCGGTACCGATTTGAATATCAGAGATATGTTACTGATCTTCATCCATACTTTCTCCCGGTCCCCTCTTCTGAACCAAAGCTCACTATATTCATCATTAGTCCCTACTACTGAGTCAATAACGCTACACTGAACCCATTACTGAAATCAACAACTCGCTCATAATCCCTACTTTTGAACCAGAGTTCACCGTCGAATCAAAGTCTGTACACCATAATGCGTGTGTCATACACTAACTTTCCCCCAAGCCATTCATTTATTGAAAAAATTCACATCAGTTTAGTAAAATTCAAAATTCTATCAACTTTCATTTCGTTTTGAAATAA